ATCATATTTTAATTATAATTATAGTAAATAGGAAACTGGGATAATATTAGGTCTGGTTCCCGAATTCAAAAAATGCCGAAAAATCACCTCGAGTCAGTGGAAACCAAGTGAGACGGAGCATTGAAAAGAAGGCTCTAAAGGCCGCACTCAAACAGTCTATTTGTGCACCGTTTCACCCACTTTCCAAGTCCTCCCTTGGCGCGGATCCCCCCTGACCCCCCAGCAAGCAGGGGGAACCACATCCGCGTCCACACAGTACGGACAAGGAAAGTGGGTGATATGGACGCACAAACAGTGGCTGAAAAGTGGACTTCCTTTAAAAACACTCGCGGCAAATATTTTTTGGTAAAGGTGGTGGTGGTCAATGTAGGTCCCAAGGCATTTTATATAAGTTAAAACATTCAAAAAATATATTTTTTTGTAAATAAAAATAATTATTATAAGAACTATTTAAAAAATATAGTAAATTCAAACAATGTTAATAGTTTATTTTTCAATTAATAAATAATAAAAACGTTATAATAATTTATAATTATTAATTTTTTACTTTAAAAAATAAATTGATGTTGCTGAAAAATGATATTATTATATTAAAATGTTTTTGTTAAGAATACTCTAAAAAACACCAACAATCGAAAACATGTTTGTTAATTATTATTTTATTTTATTTAAAACAAAGTTAAGTTAAAATGTATTTATAAAATATGTTTACATTCATCGTAAACATTTGATTACCAATGATAAATCAAGTACTTGAAACTATACTTGATAAGTACTTGGATAAATAATTAATTAATATAATAAAAATAGTATAAATGATTTGAATGTTTTTGTTCAAATTATAAAAAAAATAATATTTTAAAGAAATTGTTATAATAAACATCAGAAAAAAATTTGTTGTGATGAAATTATAATTGACTCAATTATAGTTGTTTTCATAAATATTGAGACAATTTGTTTCAATTTAAATCAATAATATAAATAATAAATATAGAGTCAGTCTTTTAAAGTTATCTGGTCTCAAACGTTATCTAGTGGACAAAAAATAGATTTAATTTTGTCTAAAAATTGGGCATTAGGTAAAACGTAAAAAAAAACCGAAACAATTGGGATAGGTTTTCAGGACGGCTTCCTGAAATATTCCAATCTTTGTGGTTTAAAAGGTACCAGATAACATTTAAAGACTGACTGTATAATAGTCTTTTGTGTTGGTTTTACATCACTAAAAATATCAATAACAAATCGAAAAAAAAACAATATTTATACATGCTTTGAATTCAATTCTTCTATATTAATATTATTAATAACTAATATATAATCATTACATAAATAAAATGTTAAAAACAATATAATAAAAATAAAAAAGGGGTTTGCAAACATTAAATTATAAATATAAAAACACCAAGCGGGACACACATAACCGATTATAATGCAAATAAACAAATTAACTGTCATTATTTTAATTTTTAACATTTTGTTTTATTTTTATAAATTTCTACAACAAAAATCAAAAATAGAAACTTGTTAATAGATGAATTTTTAGAACACCGAAACGTTAGTTCGTTATTCAACTTCCCAAAAGTGCATTCGGGGTTTTACATTTTCTTAAAAACAAAGAAAAAAGCCAAAATTTGGAAATTTAACATTTTTTTGTTCTGGAAGTTCTACCAATTTCTTTGATGGGTTTATGGATTTTGACCACCTTATGGACCCACGATAAATTATGAAAAACTTATGGAAAAATTTCAAAAAGACAATAAAATAATGCTTGTTGATGAATGCTTCAAAAGAAAATACTTTGGAATATTTTCAACAACAAGAACCAATGAAATTAAATTTATGGAAAATTTTTTTAAATTAATGAATGAAGAACGTAAAAAAGAAAGAATTAAAAAAGATTTAAATCTGATAAAAAAGAAAGAAGAAGTTCAATTAATCAAAAAGAAATTGGAGAAATAATCGGAGTTGAAAAGACTGAAATAAATGATGCTATTGAAAGAAAAGATATTAAACCTAAATTAAGTGAAGGACAAAGGAAAATGAATGTTTCACAATTGAAATTAATTGAAGGATATATTTGTGATAAACTTGCAAATGGAGTTAGGATAATTTATGAAACAACCAATTTGTTTATAAAAAATAAAATTAAAATTGAATATTTTCAAATGGTTATAAAAAATGTTGTTTTGCAACTTGGTTTGAAGCTTGTTAAATGAAAGATTGTTCAACAATGCCGAATGAATGTTATTCCAAGTGATATTTTAAAATTTTATAAAATATTTGATGAAGCAGTCAAAAATATTCCAGCCGACTTTGTTTGTAACATGGATGAAAGTGGAGTAAGTGATTTTGTTGATAGAAAAAACATATATACTTTGATTCCATCAAGTAGTAAATTGAATGTTGTAAAAGTTGGAGTTGATTGATCTATTTCTAAAATTTTTTAATTGGATGTATTAATGAAAGAGGTGAAACTCTTAAACCAGCTGTTTTTGTTCCATTAAATCAAATTTCTGCTTCTTTTGAAAGAAAAGGATATGACGATGAAAAGTTATTTATGATGAGAGCTGATAAGTCTACCATGATTATATGTTATTCAAAAGATAATTAACTGAATTGTTTATACCTGTAATAAACAATGAAAGAAAACAAAAAGGATATTCTGGTTATTGCGTTCTTTTTTTAATTAATTGTTCCAGTCATAAAGAAAATGAAATAAAATATTTGTTGGAAGAATAATTGGTGAAATAAAAAGAAGAGCATCAAAAAGAAATATTATTGAAGAAAAGTATGAAGCAAAGAAATGAGTGAAACTGTTAATGAATTAATTGATACAGATTTAATGAAAAAAAATCAGAATGGTTCAATCAAAACGTCAAAAATCAATGTTGTTTTGATGGTTATTCATCACAAGTAATTTAGTAAACCATTTTATATTATTAAACAAAAGAAACTGAATTCCAAACATTACTACTTTCCTTTTTTGTGAC